GGACTATATAACATACTTTGTTGTGGTTGTTTCATTTGTTGTTTGTTTGTTCAAACTTTGGAACCAACCATGTCTGAGTTCCAGTTCTAAGCTTTACCTGTTACCAGCTATAGGATGCTTACAGATTAGTAGACTCAGTTCCTCCCTATATAAAGGAGATAATCATTTTTTCAAAAAAATATGTGAGGTATTATGAATCAAATGCAAGTAAAGTATCACCATGGCTAGCACATAGAGCTTAGAACAATATAAATGTTGACATATAAAAATATCATGAAATTCCATTCTTCTCTGGAGAGGGCCTTCAGACTACTATTTTTTACAAGACATAGACAAAGAAAATATGAAAGAGGCAGCATGTGTTTCTATGAGAAATTGAGTCTTCCTTGCCACATTTAAGAATGAACGTCATTACATTTGGGGACCCATTTTTATCATAGATTACTGAGGTATTACCTCTTGATAATTAAAATTAAAATTTCAAAATAATAATTGGAAGTGAATAGAAATCACAGCTTAAGTTTTGATATTTCAGTGGCTGCTATCAGCAAGGCTCCTTTAATCTGGGTGCCAATTTCTCTGGTAATTAAGTTCCTTGAAGAAAATAAAATAACCTTTTAATTTTAATCTTATTAGAATAATAGACCTTTTGCCATGAAAAATTAGGAGGATGTTCCATTTATAGATTAATATTGTGATGAAGAATTTTCACAGGAGTTTTCTGAAAGGCTTTCTTGTTCTGCCGTTTCGAATAACTGGGGATATTTTAAAAGGGACTTTCTCTGGATGTGTAATTATTTAGGAATGGATCTGGGGACTGGACAAGTATCACGTTGATGTCTTTGAGATCCATGTCCCAAAACTGTATTTCATAGCAGGGTTTGTCAAATTATAAAGGCAAAAATCAAAATCAAAACCATGCAGTCTTACAGTTAATCAACAGTAAACCCCATTTTGTACTTTAAATTGAAATGCTATGGTGAAGATATGGTCTTCCATGTATCGCTTCTGTTGGTCCAAAAGGACCAATTTGAGATGGAACTATTTCAGTAAACGCTGCTGCTTGGCTGACAGCTAACTTCAAGAATAAGCCTTTACATGCACATAGCAATTTCATAGTACAAGACATTTTATTTGTGGTGTTCTTCAGAGTATTTAAAAGATAAGAAATAAAATAACTATTGTTTTCTCAACTTTTATATGGAGAGGAAAAATAAAACTCTGGAATTAAATGGTTTACTAAAGATATTCTTGTCAGAAACAGAACTTGGACTTAAATCATGCCTTTTTCTTTTTACAGTGAGGAACTATCTTGTAAAATTACCTATAAGTACCAAAAAGTAGACCCTAATGAAAGAATTTGGGTGTATACGATTTATTTGACATTGGTCCAATAAATGCCTAGGGGAGAGGGGAAGTGAGACAAGCTGGGGTAGAGCGACAGAAAAAGGTTATTTGATAAGGAGACTGCTACTATAGGCAACTGATTTCAAGCCCACAGGAGTCTCTCTGAGAAACTGTAGTAACTGCTGCCCCTTGCACACATAGTGTCTGGCCTGTTCCTCTTTCTACATCATTGGAAGCCATTGCAATGTATGGGAGTTTTCTGCAGGTGACAACCAGGGCGGACTGAAGAGATATACTTCATTTAATAACTTGATAACAAAGCAAGGTCAATTACAAATGAGTTTGGGATGATGCAGATTTCCAGAAAGGTCTACTGATATTAAATTAAATTTAACAAGACAATTTTATCTACTGAACTTAATCCTTACCCTTAGAATTAGTCATATTGTACATTACCATTTATAACTGAGAAGCCATAGTCAGCAACTTCAGTGCTATTTTTATTACTTTTTTATGTTTCATCATTTACTTGGCTATCTATGAAACCCAGAATGCCAGATTCCTGGTCATGATCACTCCCTCAGATTCATTCACTTAGTCATTCACACCTGTTATGTACCAGACACTGTTTTAACTCTGGGGTTTTTAGTAGAGACTAAAACAGATAAAACAGACCTTATAATCAAGTGATGGAAGACAAAAATGAATAAGTATGCTAGTAAATGAACATATAATAAATCTGTTAATGAGAGACACTATGAAGAAAAGCCAGAAAAGAAGGGATGTTGGAAGACAGGAGGAAATGACAAAAGACTAGCTAGGAACGACCTCTCTGTTAAGATGACATTTGCACAGACCTGATGTGAGGGAACAAAACCATGCAGATAATTCACACAAGACATTCCAGATGGTTCACATGACACCTGTTAATTCACCAAAAGGACTTTAGCCAGTACTTCTTGTGAGTTCAAAAAGAACAGAAAGCTGTTAGAGAGAATGGTGTGGTCCCAATTTTATATTCGAAAAGATAACACTACTTTGTGGGGAAAGCAGACTGTTAGTGCAAAGAGTGAAATCAGAGGAACCATTAGGGGCTGTTGAAGTATTCTGTATTCATCTGTTGATGGACACAGGTTGCTTTCAAATCTTAGCCACGGTAAACAGTGCTGCAGCAAACACAGGAGTGCAGACATCTCTTTGATATACTTATTTCCTTCCTTTTGGGTATCTACTCACCACTTGGATTGCTGGATCATATGGTAGACCAAAGATGATAGTGAGTTCATGTGGCTGTTTGCCTTATTACATTATTTATACTATGCATGCTATTTATACATACATTCACTTGTATTCTATATTTTATAATTTTGAAAGTCTTTTGTATTAATTACTTTAGAGCAGGAATTTTATATTGGTTTTGATTGAAATAAAATGTGCTCAATGGCTGGGTGTGGTGGCTCATGCATGTAATTCCAGCCCTTTGGGAGGCAGAGGAGTGTGGAACACTTGAGGTCAGGAGTTCAGGACCAGAATGACAAACATGATAAAACCATGTCTCTACTAAAAACACAAAATTAACTGGGCATAATGCATGCCTGTAATCTCAGCTACTTGGAAGACTGAGGCAGGAGAATCACTTGAACCCAGAAGGTGGAGGTTGCAGTGAACCAAGATCACACCATTGCACTCCAGCCTGGACAACAAGAGTGAAATTCCATCTCAAACAAACAAACAAACAAACAAACAAAAATACTCATTACATACTACTAAATTTTGAAAATCCTATAAAAGCACCTGAAGGGTGATTATTAGTAATAATACTTACTATGATACAAGTAACTACTGCAGACATGTGAGTCTCTTCTAAGCTCCAACAGGCCTAATGCTTTTCTTTAAAATAGTTTTTCTATTTCTTAGTATAAATCAACTAGTAATGTGTGATTTTCCTATAAAGGACCACATGTAGTAAATAGTCTAGGCTTTATGAACTATTGCATTTCCGGTGCAGCTGGCTTTTGCTGTAGAGCACATGGTATGTAAATAAATGTACCTGGCTTAACATTTATATGGACACTAACATTTAAATTGTATATAACTTTCACATGTCACTAAACATTATTCTTCTTTTGATTTCTTTTCAACCATTTAGAAAAGTAAAAACTATTCTTAGCTCACAGGTTATAGAAAAACAGGTGGCAGCAAGCCAGATTTCAGCCACAAACTGGTTTTTCAGATTCCTGGTATAGATTATCAGGAGCTTGGAGCCCTGATCTGTGGGTTATTGATTTGCTCTCATTCTTTTTTTGGATGCCTTTATTTGCCAGAGTCCTCTTTCTTTGTGAAACTGAAGCATGTTCTCATGTAACTTCTACCTGTGGATTCCACATTTTGCATCTGAAGAATAGCACAAAATACCCCCCACCCCCCACCTTGTCATAACACAGGCCTTCACAAAGTCAGAGAAAGCCACCCTGGCCTTCTTGGTTTTCTCTGCTACTCTGTGTTAAACTCTCTCCAGATGCTTATGTTTCATGACTGTTCTCTTTTTGCTTTTTAATTTTCTGATGTTTCTTCATAAAATGAACACAAACTAAACAAAACCTTTAAGCTACCGTCCACCTAATGAACAATTCAATAGAATTTTGGTTCCCAAAGATTTTTCTATCAGGCAACAATGAAGTGCCATTGTTGAGGATATGCATTATTGATTTATTTTGCTGGGTTTTTTTAATATCATGTACTCTATTATAAAGATAACGTATTTGTAAATGATCAAATAATCCTATTATTACTTTCTGTGACCATTAGTGGTCAGTTAGTTATGTATAACTGCAAGTACACATTTATTTAGTGCTTAATTTCTATGAGCAATACTCACCAAATGTGTTTATTGAGAAAAAAAAAACAAATTATACAGAAAAATAAGTATTTTAAAAACAAAGACGGACATTAGATAAAAGCCTTAAATTTATTTTCTTATTTGAGAATGAGATCTAGCAAAGATAAACAGAAAATAAATTACTAAGTTAGAATAGTTTGTAATCACCATCTAAATGATTTTTTTCAACCCAGTGGTATTAATACTGCTTCCCCACTTGATTGGGTTATATTATGCCTTATTCAGTTAGATGGAATATAGAACCACTTAGGATGTTAAAGAAACATGAAAAAGCCGGGCGCGGTGGCTCAAGCCTGTAATCCCAGCACTTTGGGAGGCTGAGGCAGGTGGATCACAAGGTCAAGAGATCGAGACCATCCTGGTCAACATGGTGAAACCCCGTCTCTACTAAAAATACAAAAAAATTAGCTGGGCATGGTGGTGCGTGCCTGTAATCCCAGCTACTCAGGAGGCTGAGTCAGGAGAATTGCCTGAACCCAGGAGGCAGAGCTTGCGGTGAGCCGAGATCGCGCCATTGCACTCCAGCCTGGGTAACAAGAGCGAAACTCCATCTCAAAAAAAAAAAAAAAAAAAAAAAAAAGAAAAAAGAAAGAAAGAAAGAAACATGAGATACCGTTTGAATTGTGAGCAGCACTGTATTTTCCTAGCGAAAAAAATACTTTTATTTGTATAATTCTGACTTTGTTGATATTGGAATTGTGTTCAACTGGGTAATTTTTAAAAAAAGAAATGACTTTTATCTTGTACTTACCAGGTTCTGGGTTGAATGATGGGCAGTGGCACGAGGTTCGCTTCCTAGCCAAGGAAAATTTTGCTATTCTCACCATCGATGGAGATGAAGCATCAGCAGTTCGAACCAATAGTCCCCTTCAAGTTAAAACTGGCGAGAAGTACTTTTTTGGAGGTAAGAATGCTATTGCTTTTTGGTTACTAATCCATTGCAGAAAAATGAGGTTTCAAGATGAAATTTGATTATGAAGAATTTGTATTTGACTTAATGAAGTCAGTAGATCTCAGAATAAAACACACTCTGTAATTCCATTGAGTAAAAAATAATGAAAAATTTCGTTTCATTCTGTAAATATATTAAGGTGATGTCACCATATTCTTCTGGCCCAATTTAAATCATTGAAGTATAACAAAGGGATTCTAAATTCATCCTCATAATTCTTAAAAGTCAGGTTCTTGGATTATTTACTGGTCAGCAATGGCTATGTAACTAGTTATCCAAACCTTAGTGTCTTCAAACATTTGTTATCTTGCAGTTTCTCTGGATCAGGAATTCAGGAGTAATTTAGCTTAGTGAGTCTCTCAGGAGGTTGACTTCAAACTGTTGGCTGTGGCTGCATTATTTGACCCTTGGTGAGCCACTGCATCTGCTTCCAACAAGTCTCACTTACCTGGCTGACAGTTGGTGCTGGCTGGGATGCCTCAGATCTCCTCCATGTGGCCTCTGATTCCGTAATACCTTTCTTCTTCGAGTAGACTTTCCCTCCTCAAGGTGACTGGGCAGAGAAAGTGAAAACAGAAGAAAGAGAGGAGGGGAGGGGAAAGCCAGTTAGTAAGAAAGTTCTCAAGATAAAAACCATAAGTATTGTTTAAAAAATAATCCAATTTGGCAATGATATCCCATCACTACTATTATTTACAACTTGTTAGAAGTGAATCACTAAATCCTGTCCACAGTTAAAGGAAGGTGACTTTAAAAGGGCTTGACTCCCAGGAGCCATTGATTCCTGGGGACCATTTTAAAGGCACCTACCACAGTCTACCTTATAAGACAGGCATCCCCAGAAAGAGGTGCCCCTTCCTGAAGTGCAGCAGGGGGCCAGATAAACGGCCTCAGGGGACCACATGTGGCCCACAGGCCATAGTTTGGGGACGCTTGTTATAAGAGAAGCCATGTAGTCACAAACATCTTGTTTCTTAAGCAATGAAAAGATTAGTAAAAGAGAAAAATATCTTACGATAAATTCTTTGTGTGAAAAAGTGTTGTAGCAAAGACCTGTCATATTTTCTAATTAAAAAAATTGTGTCCTGCCAGAAAATGATTTTTTAATAACAAATGAATTATGAGGACACATTTCATTAAAGTGCTAGGTGCATTGTTTATATCAATATAGCTTTCATTAGATTATTGTCTTTTCTGTCCTATATCATACAATGTGAGATGGAAAAAATCACATTCTTAGAAAAGGTTTTCTTTAAGCTTTAAAATCTGTATGTTACATATGTTGCCTCTGAAAATGTTTCTATTTGCATTTACATATATAAATATATATTTATATAGCATTGTGTGTCTCTGTGTGTACGTGTGTGTGTGTGTGTGTGTGTGTGTGTGTGTGTGTGTGTGTGTATTCTAGTTCTTAGAGTAAGCTGACATGAGAGCAGCCACTCTGTTTTTATTTCCTATCCTGTTATATTCCTCAGGGTCCTAAAAAAGAAATTGGAATGTTGTAGATGAACAATAAATATTTATGAAAGAATTAGTAAATTCTATAAAATACGCAATACATCTTTTTATTATTAATTTTCTAGAGAGGAAACGGAAGTCCTAGGAGATTTATTGACTTGCCACTGAGTTCGCAGCTAGCATCTAGATTTAAATTTTCTGAGTCCTATACCAGGGCATCTCTCTACATCTAATTAGGGACAACTTAGAGACAAAAGTCATGAACTAGGGCTCTGCTTCGTTAATCTTCCATAATATTTGTTGAAAGTTAAGACTTCATGATTTTAAAAAGACTCTCAATAAATATTGGATGAATAGACGAAAATCAGACAAGATGTCTTATGAGTGAATGAACTGGACATATTAACGTGAGAAAAGCAACTCGATAGCAAAACTGGTTACCCTCCAGAAAATATGCAGTATGATTGGCTATGGCCAACAGTTTTTATTGCTATGATAGTAAATGTATCATAATTGTCAGTTGGAAAGCTACAAATAATCTCTACTCATCCCTTGACTGGAATATTTCGGCCATAGATGAGCCCCCTGAATGCTTAAGGCCAATTTTTATCGATTTCAATCTAGAGGGGCAAGCAAATAGCTGTAATCACACATTCGTGGCATAAAGTTTATAGGATATGAGGTCTTTATGGTGTGCTATTTACTATTGCTTTACAGACTTTGGGTTTTGAACCCAGCAGTCAGGAGAATATTGACTTTCTCTTGGGTCTGTGGTCTGCCCTTAGGATATACTGTCAGCTAATGATCATGATGCTTGTTTTGTTATATTGTCATCGGCTGAATCCTCAGGGTGTGTAAGAATCATCAGAAGAACTGATTCCTATTCAGCCTCTCAGGCCCCACTTCTGGAACTTTGAGATTCAAGAGGATGAGAAACTGAGGAATGCAAAACTTCAAGTGATTCTGATGAACACAATCCGAGGAACAGAATTATAGATCGACCTTAGCCAGTCTTCACATAAACCTTTTTGGAAAACATCATCAGTCACTGAAAAGTTTGAGATGCCTGAGAAATAGCTACCCTCTTATAGCTTTGCCTCTAGGAACAAAGGAAAGGAAGTCACAGGACAAGTTATGATGCACAAAAACACATTTATTAAATGAACAGGTATTACCAAGAAAGCACAACACTGTTAATATAAATAAACGTTCTTCTGCAAGCTCATGGAGGTCTCAGCTCTCTGACTTCCTGCACCTTGAATGAAATGTTCTCCAGAAGCAGCATTGCTGAATAGTGGGATTCAACTACACCCAGAACTAGTGCCAGGCAACAGAAAGCCTCCTCAGCAAATGGCTGGCACAGGATCACTAGGTGATCCTGACTCCAGAACCATTTCTAAGAACTCAGGTTACAGGCCTCACCAGAATCTTTTTTTTTAATTGCATTTTAGGTTTTGGGGTACATGTGAAGAACATGCAAGATTGTTGCATAGGTACACACATGGCAGTGTGGTTTGCTGCCTTCCTTCCCCTCACCTGTATCTGTCATTTCTCCCCATGCTATCTCTTCCCATCTCCCCAGCCCCCTATCCCTCCTCCATTTCCCCCCAATGGACCCCAGTGTGTAGTGCTCCCCTCCCTGTGTCCATGTGTTCTCATTGTTCAGCACCCGCCTGTGAGTGAGAACATGCAGTGTTTGATTTTCTGCTCTTGTGTCAGTTTGCTGAGAATGATGGTTTCTAGGTTCATCCATGTCTCTACAAAGGACATGAACTCATCTTTTTTGATGGCTGTGTAATATTCCATGGTGCATATGTACCACATTTTCCCTATCCAGTCTGTCATCGATGGGGATTTGGGCTGGTTCCAGGTCTTTGCTATTGTAAATTGTGCTGCAATGAACATTCGTGTGCATGTGTCCTTATAGTAGAATGATTTATAATCCTTTGGATATATACCCAGTAATGGGATTGCTGGGTCAAATGGGATTTCTATTTTCAGATCATTGAGAAATTGCCACACTGTCTTCCACAATGGTTGAATTAATTTACACTCCCACCAACAGTGTAAAAGTGTTCCTATTTCTCCGCATCCTCTCCAGCATCTGTTGTCTCCAGATTTTTTAATGATCGCCATTCTAACTGGTGTGAGATGGTATCTCAATGTGGTTTTGATTAGCATTTATCTAATGGCCAGTGATGATGAGCATTTTTTCATATGTTTGTTCTCACCAGAATCTTTTACCGTCTTTGCACAAGGCTGAGAGTGTCTCCGAAATACACTTAGTGCCTTTAAGTTCACTATCGAGATTTCCTTTCTAACATGTAGTTAACATTTACGCTATTTAACAGACCACTAATTTCACCAAAGAAAACCCGGTTTGGCATTCAGCTTATTAGAGGACTTGTTGAGTCAGTGAATTAGGTTAATGTGAGGAATAAATAGCAAAAGTCTAAGGGTGGCTCCCTCTGGGGTGGCTGCACTAAACTCCTGATCACCTCTGACTTGTGGCTTTCTGATCAGAAGAGGAGCTGCTTCTGGATTGCAACTTTAACTGAGACACATATTCACACGACTCTATGCCATCTGTGCTGAAAATTTTAAAGTAGGATTCAAATGTTCTAATACACACATCTTAAGAAATAGCATAGTAGAAAGGAGAACTGACGGTTTTAAAACACAAGCTTTGGAATCCAGCATGCCTGATTTTGGAATCTGGCTTTATCTCTTAATTAATGAATTCTTTAATACTTTATCTTACTTTCTTTAGCTATTAAATGGCCATAGAATCTGTTTTCTGAACACTGTGGCATAAACTGAAACGTGGGGTTGGCCCCTAGGGAAGGCTAAATGCTGACTGCCTTTCCAGTGCATCTTGAATCTTTAACTCTGTAAGGCACAGAGCCTTCCAAGGAATATTGGAGACATTAGATCATTATTTATTTAATGGCCTCTCATCAACTTCTGCACTACTGAAAGTATTTCTTACCCCACACTCACTGAAGAAAAAGAGAAGTATTTTTCATGCTCACTGAAAGACTCAAGTAAAGGCTTTCCTGACGTCCTGTACTCAGTTTTGTTTGCAAACCCTTAAACATGTTCACATTTTGTTTCTTTTGAAGTTAGGTCCCAGTTGCGTACCTTTCTTTGCACCCCTAGCTGGGCCATTTCACACCAGTGTGCATTTTTATCTCTGTGCTTGCTCCCTGCTAATCCAGGCAAAGGTCTTCATTCTCCTTTGTAACACCCATGATCAAGTGATGTTTAATCACCAAGAATTATTTTGCCTTGTTTTGTTGTCATCGTTGTTGGTGGTGGTGTTTGCTTGTTTTTTCTTGAGAATAAGCAGACAAGGAAACAGATTCGTCCTTCGGGATGTTTCTTCAGCAAAGCATGTTTTAGCTGCTTTAACATGTTTTATCTTCCTCTAAGCAGAATTTCTCTAGATAACACTCCATTAATGTTAATAATCAAAAGAATGTTAAACACAA